GTCAGCCGTCTTCTTAATCTTTAAGCAGGCAATCGCTATTTGAACCTCGATATAGACGGGTAATGGAACGTCTTTTCCTACGATATCGATTGGAATTTCGGATTCACCAACTCCGGGTGATATATTTTCACTGCTATTCACCAGGCTGGAGAGTATACTCTGAGCACCCGTCACTAGATCACCCCTCTGGGTTCTACAAGAGTTTGCTCCGGTCTTGAAACCTTCCGTAAGTCGCCGTATCTTTTTGTAAAAATTTCGAGCATTCCTTGTATTTGTTGACGGGAGTTCTTTGATACACTGAGGCGGGTGTCTATTTTCGCTGCAACAAGCTACTGATCCGCGTCTATGTTGGGTCCTCGGAGTGTACGCACTACACGATCGTTCTGGTTTTGATTTCTTCGTTTAGGGGACGGAAAAGTAGCTTGGGGGTTTTTTTTTGTGCTAGAATCTAGTACTACAGACAATCATATTTCGGTTTCCGGCGAAGTCGATCAGGCTGAACACATTTGAGAATGTTTCTTTGTGGATGCTGAATTTTCAATCTTTGTTCACCCTGGCATTAAAATGGCCGAGAACGAGCACAACACATGAGTACGCCCCAGTTTCATGGGTATTCATTTCCGCGCTTGTCCCATCCATCCCACTTCTTGTATGGCGGTCGGAGGACATCAGCCAGCTGGACAGCAGCAGCTTCACAATTAAGAGACCATTCAGTATAATATTTTTACACAAAAGTTAAATCCGGCCAAAGTTACATCCAGTGTTGGTAAGACTGCAAACTTAAGCATCTCAGCAGAGGAACCCCATAAGGTATAACCAAAACCAGAAATAGCGTATGCGGATGATCTTGCGGTTATAGTGAATGGCAATATTGGATAAGGCATTAGCCCACTAAGACATATAAAATTCCAAAGTTTTCGACACCAATGCTCTCAGGAAAGGATTAGTGAGTTTGCAAAATATCTGGGACTCATCCTAGCTAGGAAGTTAAGCTGGTCATGAAAATCGGAGGAGAGGAGGTAAAATACCTGCAACAGTGTGATCTGCCGGAAATAGGGCATGTCACTAGCGTTGGCTTTATACTGCAGTTGTTAGGCTCATTTTCTATGGAGTTGTATTTTGGTGGCCAGCACCATCACCAAATTCGATAGAGAACGGAGCACAACGCTCCTGTGTACTAGCGGAGCGCTTCGTATCAGTAACTGAGGCTTTGAAGTTTCCGTCTACCGAAGAAAACGGATTGCTACATATCATTTACTGACTTCACGACTGATTACAGTTATCCCGGATAAACATCAATGTTCTCTCGATACCGCAATCCAACTCGGCCCATTTTAAAATCATCAAAACTAAATATATAACAGGTTCCGTGGCGGAGTTAACATATGGGATCTTGGTTTGTGTAAATCTTTTCCTTTACTGGATTACTGTAGTGTTTTTGAGACGGAGTTGGTGGTTATACATATTGCCCCAGCTCAATGGTGCTCTTTGATAATCGTATTTATATGTTTCTGGATAGCCAAGCCTCATTAAAAGCCCTGGAATCTGTATCAGTGAGATGGTGAGGTTGCGAGGAAAGGTACTTCTCCTCAACTTTCGCAATCATGGAAGTGTTTTGGCGCGCCCTTAAGATGCTAACTCTAGATGGAGAAGTCTTAATGTCTGTTAAGTGATCCGGACAATATGACTAGAATGGAGAAGAAGTTTGCGTGACCTTATGGAGCTAAAAAGTTATAGGTGTTTTTACAGGGAATATTCTATTAGGCAGGCTTGGAAGTACCATCTAATGACTTCTGCAGAAGTTGCAAGCAAGACGAGGTACCTGAAATCTTAAGGCACTTTCTTTGGGAATGCACCGCACTTTAGAAGAATAGGTTGAAGTCTATATGGGCGGAAATCTTTTTACAGTTGAGCGACATACCTGGTGAGCGTCATTAGAATTCTCAATGTTATGACAATGGCGGCCCAAGTGAACTGATGCCCGGCAAATACTTCAACCAACCAAAACTTCAGAATTGAAAACTTAATATGACATTCGTTAATGATATAACTACAATGGCAGTTTTTACAGGAGAAGGTAGGAATTGTCAGAGTTATGATAAACCCCTGCTATGACTAGTTAAACATGATTCCCGCTTGGCTGATGATATTTTATGGGGGATTTAGATTTCGATTGAACCAGGACACGAACTCAGGCCTTCAGTATGGCTGTACGCCACGCCAACCGCTCGGCAGCCATTTGATAAAAAAAAATTAAAGTATATTTCAAAATATTATTGAGAATTTCAAATTTGGATGTGAACAAAGCTTATTAGCTGGTCCTCGCAGTAGTTTTTACCGCTGCGGAAGGAACTTGTCAATCTTTAGCGGTATATATTTCCAAAGATTTTTCATCCATTGCATCACAAACAATTACAAATGGAACTGTGCTAACTTTCTGCCTCCACTTCAAGCGACATAGCAATGCCGGCAAGCATAGACATGTCCATATTTTCCATAGACAATCCCTTAAGGCTTGTGCAATTCTGCTTTATTTAGGTGGGCATGTGACATCATTCTCGTTATACGGTGTTTGGGTTGAATTCAAGCACCCAAACCGAAAATTATTCGGTAATATTGGCTTTTCTTCTTCATTAGCCGAAACTGGCCTTATCTGTTCTCTGCGTCGATAAGGGCTCTTCTGAGGGTTTCTAAACGCGGTGCTTCTTCTTTTAGCACTTGTTACAAGAGGTATTTGAGGCCCTAGAAAAATCTTTTCTAGTATACTTTAGCTGTCGACTTGGCTGGGCGCAGTTAAATCTCCATTCGATAGGGTGGAAATCAAAGAGTCTTTCTTCCAAACGTAGTACTTTTATGGCTTCAACGAAATTTTTTTTTCGATGAAATTATAAAGGCATCTGTGGTAAGATCTTCTGCCCCCTCCAGGTGTATGGCTCGTACTCTCAAACAGGTATACAGTGCGACCCAATCACAGCAATCTACCTCGGTAAAACTTATGGCGTTATAAAAGGCGGATGTGGTTTGAGAACGTTGACTATACAAATCGGACAAAATCGTTTTACTATTGACAAATCTGCCGTGATGTGTGGTATCTAAAACCATTGACGGACATCGTTATTTGTTACACAATTATTTCGGGAACAAAGCGAATTATGAAGTACCAGTTTGATGTGTGTATGTGATATTTCACTGCGAAGGCTATTATTAAGCGCTGCATACATATATATGTACGTGCATAAGTGTAAGCTTTAAAACAAATGCAAAACCTTAACCATTCATGCGGATGAGTTAACCTAATTTTCATAAATGTTGTCAAGTGAAGCGAAATTATTGGCAAAGGCAGCTTAATAAACAACAGTAAAAAAAAAGAGTCCTTGAGCTAAACTCGTATGTGTGCGCAGATGTGCAAAATGACGCATAAACAATGATTAAAGTATTATGTGAAAATAGATTTTGTTTCACATTTTAATCAGTGAACCTATAAATATGCCTGCACGAGCGTACATACATACATACATACATAATTACATATAAACGAATGTTTGAATGAAAGCGGTGTTCGTTAAGGGAGCAGGCAATTAAAAACGAAAAAAAACAACAACAACAACAACAATAAAAATAGTAATGAACACAAAGAGCTGATAACAAAGAAGGCGCGTACATAAAGAAAATAGATTATTACTGATTGTATTAGTTTGTTATTGACTTTTGTGTGGTTTGTTGTTGTGTCAATTTTGTTATTTTACTGATAGGAGGTGGACATTAAACAGCGAAAGTGTAATTAAATTATCTCCGGCAGAGAAGAACGGCGATACAAGTTGATAGCAAGCAACGTATGTACATACGAGGTGTGACAATTAAGTAATGAAACTGATTACATTGCCGCGCATATATGGTAATCCTGGTAAATTGAAATTCCCTTTCTCTTCTCCCGGCATCCTTCACTTCTCCATTGATATATTTGCCATTGCTCTAGCTTGTTGAGTTCGTCTGCCCTGTCGTGTTGAGTAAACGTGTGTTTGTGGTGCTTGTCACGAAAATGGAAAAACGAAATCAAGAGCAATGCGCCGCGATATAATTTTACACCAAATTGGGCGAAGCAGCTTCGGAAACGTACGCCGAAATTGTAAAAGTGTATGGGGATAGTGCTCTTAGCCATGTTTCGATGGCATAAGAAGTTTAAGGAGGGGTGTGAAAGCGTGGAAGACGAGGCGCAGAGCGGAAGACCAGTCAAGTAAATCAAGTCTTCGATCGCCAAGTAATCTAAAGATTGCGAAAACGATTCAACAGGGTGCGCCCAGACATCGCTCGTAATTGTATCCTTCATCACGAGAACGCGCCGTGCCACACCACCCTCATCGTGTCCCAGTATTTGGCCTCTAAAGAGATCGCCTTGTTGCAACAACCGCCTTATTCGCCTCATATGTCACCCTGTCACTTTTTTATTCCCTAGACCAAAATCGATGGTCAAAGAAACCCATTTTGAGTCGATTGAGGACATCCAGGCGGCAGTGAAGTGAGTACTTGCGGACATCCCAGTCGAAGCGTTCCAGAAATGTTACCAAGCATGGAAAACGCGTTATGTAGCTACCCAAGGGGACTACTTTGAAGGGAATGGCAGAGTTGTTGAATAATTTTGAAATATACCGTGCTTATGGAATCAGTCTCATTACTTAATTGCCATACCTCGTACATACATACATAAAGTTTTTAAGAGGATAGTGATGGCCGAAGCATAACAGCGTAATTACGGTATAGATACTTAAATAACAGTTTTAAGTCTTGTTAAAAATTTTATATTATTTTTACCAAAATTGATCGACATCTTCTTCAAAAGGGTTTCAAAAATTCAGTTTAGTGAAACTGTTGTTCGGCAAATTTTTATACACCAAAAGAGTAACATCAAATTTTAAAAAGGGTTAAAAATTGCAATGAAAATAATTTTAAACATTTTTATTTTTGCGTTAAATTTTTATATTATATTATATATTTGTATATTTTATAATAACATAACATTATTTATATAAATTGAGCTTTCTTTTGAGTCATACACTGCTTTGCCAATTTGTTTTTTTTTTTTTTACCGTAATAATGTTTCTCATCTGCAAACAACATATTACACATAATATTACTCTTTTGTTTCCTCCTCCGCTTCGCTATCGTTACCCGAAACGTCCTCAAGTGGAATTTCCGTCAATTCTTGTTCCTCTTCTACGTCACTATCTTCCATGGCATCAACTAAAGTAACATTTTCTAATTTATTACCACTTGACTTCTTGCCTAATTTCGCCTGTTTAACATTTGACATGCTTGCAGCAACAACAACAGCTGTAGCAGCGCTCGATGTAGTTGCAGTTGTTGCTTGTGTATTTGCTACTGCTGTTGGTGGTGAGTTGGTAGTGTGCTCTCTCAATTTTTCACCAAACATCGGATTGTCGAAAGCGCGCTCTCTCACCTGACCGCTTTCTGCATCGTAACCGATAGTAATGCCATCTGTTATATCTGCTTCCACGTCACCGCCGGTTAGGTTATCAAATCGAGCAAACATGAAAGTGGGACGTAGTAGGAATGTTCGCCAACGCCTCGGATCATATACCCACTGTGGCACGTAGCGCAGATAACGATGTTCGGGCACATAGTGTGCAAAAATGACTAAAGCCACCACGGAAACAAATGCCAAACATAAAATGATAAGCAAGATGGAAGCAAAGGTAATGCTTGGATTGTAGGGGCGTCCCGATATGATCATTTCTAATTGATGATGGCCTACGAATAGTTTTGACCAATCGGTTGTGGAGTTTAAGCGATTCATGAAACGTACACTCTTTTCGCTGTAGCTATCACGATCAACTACTATGGCTTGTAGGAAATTTCCATGCGGCGGCATGTTCACATAATTGATGTGGTAATCCAAATATTTAGTAAGCTCTTGCTCTTTGATAGAGGCTACGATCACTTTACGTAATTTATTCAAGTTCTCTTCACTGCAATATTCCATTTTGAAGCGTAGCACCGAACCGCAAATCGGGCAACAACTTTCCAACGGGATCACTGGCACTAAACAATGTGGACGTTCGCAGGTTTCCATTACGTTTTTGCATACCGGCTCCATAAACATTTCAGCCTCCATCTGGCAGCCGCATGTGTCCTGATGATAATACTGCACCAATGTGTCCAGGCTATTCTTAAAGAGTAGCTGTCCAATATCAGTGTGTAGCAAATAGTTTAAATAACTGCTCGATATTAGTGAACCTGCCAAATTTAAATGACCCATTCTTAAATATTCAGTATTCTCCAAATCAACCGAAAGGGGGCCATTGCGTTGCAATACCACAGTTTCATTATCGCACGGCACGCGCTCTAAATGTGGTATAGCCGTATTTTGTGCTTGTGAGGCAGCAGTACTAACCCAACTGCTTGGATCGTACCACTTTCTTGTAGCTGGAACTTTTAAATAAGCGCGACGACTGCGTCCATTTTCACATTCACGCTCTTGCATTTCACCACCAAGCGTAATAGTGGACTCGTCGCTAAGCAAAATAGCACCTTCCCGAGGAAGCACAAATCCACTGATATCTACTTTTGCTGGTAGTGGTAGCACAGCGTGATAATTTTCAGGAAAAACCACATCTTCTAGTGCGCAAGGTAGATAGCCGGATTCCCAAGCGTCTGCACTATCAAAACCAGGATTCCCCAAAAGCCGCTTGTTACCAGCGCAATAGGTGAGGCACATCAATAATGTTAATAATTTTAAAATATTTCCCATCATTTAAATAAAGGCACTCTCTAACAACGCAAGATACTGAAATGAATTGGGTGGAATAGGCAGCGATGGATGCATGCCATGTTTCAATAAAAGGGGCGTATTTAAGCTTATGCTTATATCTCTAACGCTCACTCAGCTGATAAATACTGTATTGATAAATAGTTGTAGTACTTACATGAATTTTTTTGAATCCCCATAAGTATGTCGTACGCGGCACACAACACAATTTTATAAATTACTCTGAAAACTTATATTTTTATTATTTATCAACATTTCCGCAGTACGTTCCATACAAAAAACCCGCTTCCGGTTGATTCCGACCTGTCAAACAGTTTTAAAATCTACATCCGTAGAATTGATATCACCAATTTGAATATCACTGTACTATTCATGTTGGCTGTCAGTTAATGCTATTAATTTCGCTTGTCTTTCCTTGTCATTAGAGAATCTACATACAGTTCTCTGCTTCCTCTATTTACGTTCTCTGATTAAAGTTTCATTGATTATTTTTCTGTGCTTGGAGTTGGTGTTGTCGGTGCTGTGAGCGACGCGGATTGCATTCTTATTGTTTACTATTGTATATACGCTACTTAATACATGAGTACTTTGCAGTGTGTCCAGTCAATATAATAATAAATTGCATACGCTAGACACTCGTACATAGAAACAATTGTGTCAATTAAAAAGATTGTTCATAAAAATGGTCAAAAACAAAACGAATGTGCATTCCGCTGAGGCGTTGTATCAAGGAGTTTATAAAGCGTTGCGAATATTAGTTCATTTAACTGCAGCTGTGCAGTTCGGCTATGGAATTTACTATGAGTGGACTTATGTAAAATTTCCTGAATCAACGGCGAATATGCATAGTAACTTTGGTGGAAAATTTAAATACCTAACATTTCTAAATGCGGTAACTTTCTTAACTCAATGCTTACAAAATATAAGAATTATATGTATATAAATCATATTTATTATATTAATATGTGAAAGTCATGCCTATATCTTATCAGCTATCATAAAGCAAAATTTTATTTGCTTATTGCAGGTGCATAAATATATGCGTACATATTGAACAGTTTGATGATCACTGTAAATTAATCTACAGTAGTTCGGTTCGAATGGTTTACCTGAGAAACTTTTAGTTTTTTATGGTGCTTTTGTTTCTGAGAGTTATTTTCCATTTAACCGCCATTAAACTAATTATGAATATACATATATAAGTGTATTATTAATTATATTACTTTTTTTGTATAGCACGTGGTAATGTGCAAAAAGGTTCTATAGTGAAAAATTATTTCTGAAATGAAAAAAAAAAAAATTACTTTGTGCTATGCATATTTGTAACTCGTTACTGCTGGAAAAAAATGAATATTTTAAATGAATTATTTATATAGTATTTTTACGTGCAAGTAGAAATATAGTGTCTCTAAATAGAACCTTTGTATAGGTATTTGAGTAATAATTACATTGCATTAATATAAATTATTTAATAATAGCATTTATCTTATAGATACATGTAAGCAAATATGAAGTTATATTTAAAATTCCTTTTTTCCTTTTTTCAGATTATTCAAACAGTTTATTATGTAATTTCACTAATAAATGATTTTGTTGGCACAAATGAAGTTGCGCCGAAACGTTTACCAACTATACGTAAAGTCAAGGATTATATAATGGCGTCATTGGCTTTCCCAGTGGCATTAAATGTCGGTATCACTTTCTGGAGTCTGTATGCTATAGATCGAGAACTAGTCTTGCCACGTGTGTTGGATCCAGTGTTTCCGAGGTTTGTTACCATTCTATACACAAACACACATGTATATATTTGATATATTCACAATATATGATTTTTTCACTTGCAGTTGGCTCAATCACGTATTGCACACTAATATCGTAGTTTTTATGATACTGGAACTTTTCACATCGTTCCGTGCCTATCCCAAGCGCAGTAAGGGATTAGCGGGACTCTCTGCATTCCTGCTGTGCTATCTAGTTTGGGTTCATATTATCAAATATTATTCTGGATTTTGGGTTTATCCTGTACTCGGAGTGTTGCAGTTACCACAACGCATCATATTTTTCATAGCGCTATTTATATTTACGCAGTGTTTATATCTCTTTGGCGAGTTTATGAATAATATAGTTTGGGAGAAAGAACTGAAACTCGCGCAACGCAAAGTTAAATAAACGCAGCATGTCACATGGAAGGAAATTGTTAAGAAAATAATTAAGGCAAAGAAACCAAACAAATTTCTTATGATATTTTAAATTTAAAGCTTTGCATAAATACTTCTAAATTGTATTTAATATACTGAATTGTATTTAATATACTATAAATAGTTCGATTACAACCATTTAAAATACTAGAAGTTCTTATTGAATTATATGTAGTCAATTCCTACTTTATATAATTAAATTTTTAAAGCAAATACTTGCGAGTAAATACTTACATATGTAGAAGTAAAATTAAAAGAAGTATATTTATATAACGTTTTCTGACGTATTTGTTGTTTCAGTGGTACAAATTACTAAAAAAAAAATATTGCCAATACAAGGATCATTATTTAGTTAAATAATTAGTTGAATTGCTTTTTGCTGACATACATACATTCAAATTAAATATTTACATATAAAGGAAGATCTTAACACTCAATAAAAATTCATATCAGCGCACTGAAGTTAGTTTTAATTAAAAACAGTAAACTGTTAATGCTATAAAACGATATTAAAAGTAATTAATTTCAATTTACATACTAGAAAATATTTGTTTATTTAAAGAGAATGGTAAGTAGATATGAAATATGAAAAATTCTAATAGATCGTAGAATAGGTGAGATGCATAACAATTGCATGTTCTTTTCTATTTCAAAAATTAAGAAAAAAAATTTATACATATTCTAGTCATCTAGTGTGGAAGTTGCCCTTAGTCATGTGAGTAACTTAAGGAAAAGAAAATATATTTTTTTTTAATTCTGTAACGATTTCTTGTATGCTTAAACTTAAATATCTGCTTATTCCAATTTCATTAGCTTTCGCATTCAAAAAGTTGGAATGAGTTTTAGAAAGTGCAAATAAAAGTAGTATTAGAATATTCTGAGTATAAAATAGTCAAATGAGATTTTTGAACCGGACATACGCATATATATATATATATATATATATATGTATGTACGTATAAGTGTATGGCTTAACTGTTTACATACTAGTGAGTATATACGTACGTACATATATATATGTATATATATATTTTATATTTATTATATTTTTTGTTTTGTTTTTGGTTTTCTTTTTCACTTTCGCAAGTATCCGTAACCGTTTTCAATGCCAGACGCCTTGAAACCGGCAAATAAAAATTTTTGCATGTCTAACCGAGTCGTCAGTTCACCGACCAACCAATTACACACACGCAAATGTAGTATGTGTAATTAGGGTGAACTCTCGAATCCATTATTTACTTACATATTACGTTTCAAAGTTTATTGAGAAGATTTCTATGGTATTGAAGCAGTGAACAAACTTATGTCTTATCGTCAGGTAACAAATTTTATAGGTAATAAATGTAAATCTTATTACTTTTTAATAACCATAACATAATTTTAGCTTAATAAAAAAATTAAAAATATTAAGTGCAACGTAAAACCTAGTTGACATATGTATATGTCCAAATGCAAATAATTGTGCACATCGCAAGTGCTAATACTTTTTTTTATATTTTCTATGAATTTATTTATTAATTTACAAAAGATTCTAATACCAATTTTATATTTTTTTTGTTTTATTTTTAAATTGTTGTGCGGCTTTTTGCAGGGTGAATTAGCACAGTTTGAGAGCAAATGTAAACGAATGTTAAAATATAATACTAGACAAACAAACATGCGTGCGTAGACAGTCGGTGAAAAGTTGGAAACGAAATTTTAATTGATTAAATCAGCTAATAGATTATCAATAGGCAGTTAATTAAAGGGCATTGCAGTATTTTCTGAAACAATTGAAAATCACTGGTTTTAAATAAGATGACTAAAAGTAAGAAGCGTGTAAAGGAAGAACAGCAAGTTAAGGAACACAACGCGGTGGTAGAAGAACGTTTAACAACTACCAATGATGCCTACACACAGGTGCCTTAGACTTACATATATTGATAATAAATATTTATCTAATAACAAATTATAATTAACATACTTTATTCATACAAAGGGCGCTTTTTGTTACCTCCGACTACTCACTCATACGATTGGATTGCTACAATTCGCCTATGGCATATATTACCATTGGTACAATGTACATTGGCCACAACATTTGCAAGATGAAGAAGAGTTAAAGACACGTTGGGGTGGCAAATTTAAATATCTTACCTTCCTTGATGTGGTTGGTGAATAGAAATGAATGACACTTTTCAAATATAGTAAACTGTGCTGTGGTGTTTTATAGATATTACAAGCTCTTTATCATTTGGTGGCTCTGCTGAATGATTTAATTGGTTCGAATGCAGTGGGACAGACACGCTTTATGCCAGGTATACGTAAGTTACGTGATTACATGTTTGCGGCATGGGCTTTTCCTATAGCACATAACGTTTGCATCTCATTCTGGGTTATATACGCCTTCGATAGGGAACTTATCTTCCCAACAGCACTGGATGCGATTTTCCCTAGGTAATTTTGAAAACTTTTGTGTTTGTAATAAAATAACAAAATTTCATTATCTTCTTATAGTTGGCTAAATCACATCGTACACACTAATGTTGCTATGCTCGGCATACTTGATATGTTTACTTGCTTCCGGCAATACCCTAGCCGTAGTGCCGGTCTCACTGGCACTGTGGTATTTATGCTGCTTTATATTGTCTGGATGCATATTGTACGCTTCTTCTCGGGTCATTGGGTATACCCGTTGCTCGAGGTACTTAATATGCCAATGCGCTACTTTATGCTAAGTTGCCTGCTGGGATTTACTGTTGTCTGCTACTTTTTGGGAGAGTTTTTAAATAAAACTATATGGAGTCCAGAGTTACGTTTGCTGGAGCTAAAAAATGGCAAAGCTGATAAAAGTCATTGAAGTAAACATTTTTTAAAGCAAGTAAATATGTATGTATAGTTGAACGCTGCTTTATTTTGAGTTTTTGGTTTCAATAAAAAATGGTCAAAAGTTTTTGTTGTGTATCATAATATATATGTATAATAAATTCTTTTGTCACTTATTTTCAATATTAGTAAAAAAAAATAATACAAATCTTATTGTTTATAAAAATTTTCAAAAACTCTTAAGGCACTAACTTAATGTTTTTATTCGAAATATCATACTTTTATATTTTTCTGTATTACAAAACAATTATTTATATATGTATATAAAAATAAAAAATAATTTTGTCTTACTATATGTATAATTAAATGTAAGTCAGTACAGGGCTTAATCATTGTGCTCATCTAAATGCAACATTCGATTTTTTCGAATTAAAAATGAGTATTTTCAGTTAAAAACATGCAGCATTAAATAAATGCGTTTTAAAGTTTGAAAGGTAAATACAATTATAGGAAAAATAGAAAAAAAAAAATTAAAAAGCTTTTAGTATAAGTTGTTCCCTTACTTATTATGTAAAAACGTGTCAACAGTCGTTTTCATTGTGCATAATTATATACAATATAATATTACAACAATGCTTTTCTGTTTCAATTACATACTTTGAACCTAATGTTAACAACCCTTTCATATGTATACTTTACTGAAGTACGCTAATCTTTCGTTGTCATTAGTACATGCGAGTTTCCTAATAATTACTATCACCTCTGTGATATTTGTGATTTTTTTTTGTGTACATTCCCTTACTTCTTTCTTAAAACGATTGCAAATAAACAATATTTACTTCGAAGGCAACAATAGCATTTTTAATTTTTCTGATTCACTTAATAACGTTGCTTCTTTGTGCCTGATGTTGTTATGCAGCAAAGTGTGCATTTCGGTAGCTTCCAGCACGTTCTCAGCGTAGTCACTTTTCTGATGCACACTTTTACCATTCAATTGTCGCATTGTTAGCTTAACTTCGTCCTCATCATAGGGTGCCAAATTGTGCGTTGCTATATCGAAAGCATTCGCTTGTATGCCCACATCACAACTCGTTTTGCTGCTACGGGAATTCGGCTTGCCCATAGAGAGACCCGAATAAGAGCTGTGCAACATCAAACCCAGTGGTAGCTCTAGTTCTAAGGATGTACATGAAGATGTGATAGAATCACCAGCATCCGTGATGCCACCAACGTTGAGATCACGTGCTAAATGCAAATTTATATCTGATATATTTAGCATATCTTCCTCATCGTTACTGGCGTTGTGTAGTACGCCAACTGTAACATTATTAGAACGTATCGAGTTTTGTTTTCTACTGCGCTGTGAACGATGACTGTTGCCATTCACAATCGCTGCGGTAGCTGATGGTGCAGCGGCGGCCGTGCTGGTAGCGTATGATTTGCGTGAGTGTCTGCTGCGTGTGGAATTGCGCGAATTTCTTTTTGTGGTAGATTCATTTGATGTTTGCATATTTTTAAAAAGGTTTTCTAAAGCGATTTGTTTCTTAACATTCCGCTCGTGTGTATCTGTGCGTATTTCTTCGATACGTGGACCACTGCTGGGTAGACATGCTGTGTTCTCGTCATCATCGTTAGTATCGTCACTGAGATCGTGCTTTAATACCACATCCAAGCGAGAATCCTGTATTTTGAATGATGCATGCGAATTTTCCTCATCGGAGGAACTACTCAGTTCTTGCTGCCTTAGGAGTGGCATTATCAATTGGCCGTTTTTAGCTAAAAACTCACTGATATCGGCGGGATCCAAACCTGTGTTAAAACAAATTTAAATATAATTTGAGTTGGATTTCAACATTTATTTGTACACACACACTTACCAAAATTAGCGCTGCGTCGCTTCATTATTTTACCGCCATGTGCATTATGCTTCTTTGTACTATGTTGTGCGATTAAGCCGACTTTGTGACTTATGTTGGGATAGCTTGTCTTTTTCAAAGCAATAACTTGAGATTCTATGGAAGTACTGCTTTCACGGCGTCCGCTATATTTTCGTCCGGTGGTAGCAGATGAAATAAAATCGCGTCGCTTATGTGAACGTTTATTCGTGGCAGTTGCATGCTTACTACTATGATGATGGTGGTGATGACCATTGCGGCTGCGCGAGGCTACTTTTGTTTTCATTTCAGCAATTTTTACCGAAACCTAAAATTTATAAAATATACATATGTATGTATTGTATATCAGTGCAATATAATTGATAATTTAAAATAATTAAAATTCTACCTGAGAATCAACAGAATTGCGTCGTGATTCTACGGAAACATGGCGTACGCTAAAACTGATTTCCGAGTCTACGGAATTTTTACGCGGTCCTTGACTGGATGAATGTGTGGTGCCTGCACCGGTGAGTGCCATGCGGCGTTTCACAAATTGTGGTAAATAGTTCGCCCACGTCGAACTGATTTCATTTGTTTCGGAGTAATTCAAGTCATTAACATCAATATTTAAACCAACAGGATCGGTATGTGCATTATATAGGGTTATAGAGAGCCTCCCCTTATCCTCAAACTCCTTTCGTTTGGCCCAAGTTTGGGCAATAATTTTATGCTTTGGCATTTTAACTTCTTCTGCTACATCATTTCCACATTTTCTATATAAAAGTGAACCAAAAATGTTAATGAAATTCCTTGACAACGTTAAATAAGTATACTAACTTTCTTAAGTAACGTTTCCAAGTGTCAAGCGAAGATGGCGTCCAGCACCAGGTAGACATTACAATGCCTGAACCAAACAGGCATATTAAATGTAGTTGCAATAGTGCAATGCTAGGACGATTTTCAATTCTGCACTGTTCGTCTGTTGAAATGCGGCAACTAAAAATGTTTGAAAAATTTAGTTTGTTCATAATTTTTTCAATATTGTTGCTTAACTCACATGATGTATTGCTTCAAGCTTTCGGCCCATAACTGCGAGTGCTTAAACTCGTTTATGTGACATACAATGCTTGCCAAAATGAAGATGAGTGTAAATACTGCGCACACTCCCATTCTCACAATGATCAGATGTATCTTATTGCTTGCCGATGTTGATTTAATATCGTTGGCAAAATGTTTCAAACCAAATAGCATTATCATACCGCGTGTAACAAAGTAGCCACCTATCAATATTACGCCACATAATGGGCCTAGTAATAGGCCAGCACGCATGGGATGATTTAAGTAACCAACAAAACATATTCCAACCGTACTATTACCATCGACTTCACTCAAAGCCATTGTAGTTATTGTAAGCACAAGTGGTAATGACCATGCAACCAAATGAAAATAGGAACCTTTTTTATCAATACGATCCTGTACGTTGCCCACAGCACGTAGATGCCAAGTATATGTGAGGAATACAAACCAAACCATAGCTGCAATTAGAAAATAGTAGACCAGTACAAAAACGACTATACAAGAGAGATTTTCTCCTGCTGTGGGCTCTGAGTGTCTTAGAGTTCCATCTTTGCGACATGTTATATCATCACGTGATCCCGGTGTGAATTGCGCAAGCCAACTATTAAGAAATCAAGGCAGAGTTATAGTATATAGAAATGAAGGTTATCATTTGGATACTCACCCCAAACAAGAGATCATAAAACATAAATTTATATAGAATACAATCAATGCTGGGTATTTATTAGCGTTTTCCCAGTCCACGAAAAAGGTCGTCACCACAAACAAGTTAGATAAGACGCAAATCAAACAAAGCCAGTAAATTAACTTATGTATTTGTCTGTGCTCATCATCTGTATACAAAGGATCTTTACATTGTAGCCCACATCCTTCAATACCAGGGTAGTAGCTACTGCTAGAGTCCACCGGGACTAACGGTGCCATACAACTACCCGTGCCATTGAATTTCATTTCTTGTACATCATTAGTGCACTTAGGTGGAAATAAAGTTTCGTTGCAGCGTAGAAACTCTGGAAAATAAGATGTGTTATAAAGCAGACGACACGGCTCTAATGTTTTACGACACATTTCCACTGATGGTAAATAAACCATATCCTTGCCATTGATCTGCTCGCATTTGGGCATAAAAACGGAGCACAGAAAAGGCTATATACAAAATAAATTAAATGTCATTAAAATGAATTGAATGTATGTAAATTACCCAAGCTTATATACCTGAATAACAGCCCAACATTTGGGTACATTTCTAAGTGCACGATAAAAACCTATATGCTTCAACATCTGCTCCTGACTTTGATAGTCAGTGAGATCTAAGCTTGTTAAAATATAGGGTATTTTTGTACCTAAGCATGTGCTATTTATAAGCTTCTCACAACGTCCGTGACGCACGCATTGAGTGTGTTGCATATCCAGGCCACGCCCGTCAAACCAAGGCTTATTGTCACGATTTTTTTTACCATTAATTCTGTAATTTATTGTGCCATTTATGGGTTCTAAATCAGTTTGAATAGTCAACGTGGTGGGGGTGTATGCGGCCGTGAGTGTATTACCACTGCGAGAAGACACATCGCACAGCGAGCCAGGCAGTTGAAAACAAATGCATATTAAAGTGTATAAGAAAACTGGCGAAATAATCCAATTGGCCATAGCACAACATAGATTAAGCTCCCTAGAAATAAAACATAATTTTAACACATTCCTACAGGTAGAAGGTTGAATCGAACTGCTCACCTGTTATTTGTAATTATTTGACAAAAATAAAAGGCGGTGGTTAATTTAACAGCAATGATGTTTTTTATAATATCATTCTAATTGAAATTTTAAACAGAAACTTAATTTATTATTAATTTTGAGCAAGCTTTTAAAGAAATAACTAAACCCGCGGTAATAAATGCTTCAAAAACAAATTAACAAGAAGAGACGCAATGGACCACCCGGGATTTTGACAGATAGAGAAAAAAGCATCAACAAAGAGTTTGAGAGCTACGGTTGCCAGCTTCTTTTAAATACAAGTTAATTTGTTTGAAAATTTCAACAAAATGTTACAATTTACTTTCAGCAGTACTTTGAAGGTGTATCAAGTAATTATATATATGTAACTGCGATTTTTCGGCCAAGCTCCTCCTCCAATTTGTGGCTTTGCGTCTTGATGATAGAAAAAATGCATGTTAACAAATTTTTACTACTTCTAGGCTAATATCATTCAATTTATGGATTGACTTAAAAAATCACTGGTTTTGAAAAACGTTGTAAAAGTATCAATACGTGGCAACCTTAGTGTTTTAAGATACCACTTTAGTTAACAAGTGCCATTTTCATTTTGATCAATACAGGTATTCACGCATTGTGTATTTCAAAATAACACTGCATTAAATATAATAATGCACAAACTTGTATATTTTATTGAACATAATACATTACGCTCAGTACACATTCAAAATTTAATTTAATATTTTTAATACTCATTCCCAAGCCTGATTGGCGGCCAAATACAAAGCGAACAAAGTCTGCACATTCAAAATGTAATCAACTTGCGATTCTGAAGGTCCCTCAACTCCGAACTGTTGACACAATGTACGTACATATCGAGCGATATCATTATCTTCTAAACATTGCTGATAAGCCTGTCGCACTGCGTCACTTGCATCAGCATACGCACGGGGCCAGTTGATCAGTAAGGGCTCAATGTCTTTACGCGGTTGCACATCATTTACCGTTTGTGTCATATGCAATTTTTCCACTTCATTTATCCACTTATCAATTTCCTTTGCCGATTTGGCCGTTGGAATTAGGGATGCTGATGTGTTGCGCGCATTAGCGCCACTCCCAGTGAGTACAGAACGTAATTTCATATTGAGTAAACTTGGCTCCGATTGTTCGCCCGATGGCTCGTCGAGCAGATAAATTCCCATTTTATTTAGAAACTCATTAATTTCTTGCTGACGTTGAGGCTTCACTAATGGCGGTATTGTTACCTTAAGAAAGGCATCTACATCGCCAACAGAGGGTACAAAGTCCGGTATGAAAGGTTGTAAGCGGTAAGGTGTTTCAATTGACTGTGGGGTATATTTCAGTATATATGGAAAGATATCCTTAAGCTCTTGATGTATTGTTAAATTCTCCCAATGGTCTGGTTTAATAGACAACTGCACATCCGGCGCTGATGATTGTGCAGCAGCAGAGTCTCCTACGACACCAAGTTGTGGTTGTGGTGAATCGTCCGATTCACTCTCTGAGGGCACAATAAGACCACTGCCTCGCACTAGCGGCTTAGCTGACAATATATTAGCCGTACTACGAGTGCTACCAGGTCGAGTTTGTGGACGTTGGTTAGATGTGTCCCGTATAGTTTCGTTAATCATTTGTGGCTGCATTTCGCTTTCATCATCGTCATCATCATCATCGTCTTCGTCGTCATGATCAATAATATCCTGCAATAGACCATCGTCGTCGGTTGAGCTCCCGTGTAGCTATTATTGAGGATATATCAATGGGATAAGAAGTTAGCTTTATAAAATGAGCAGCAAAAGGCTTACAACATTATTCTGACGTATCGTGGCAGTACGATTTGATGTGGCAGCTAAACGCTGTGAGCCAGCTCGACCGCTGCCATTGCTAATAGCTCGATCCATTTTAAAGTGACTTAGATTCTTCGAGTCGGGTCCACTGATGCTGATTTCTTCATCGTAATAATTCATCGGAAATTTTTGCATATAAATTTTATACTGTATAAATGAAGAAATGATTTCACATTAGCAGCAAATGTCTCTTCCACTTTTCTTTGTTTGTTTACGCCGCACTTTTATTAATTGTTGCCTGGGCAACGCACCCCCCGATTGTGTTGTGTTCATTCCTTTTACATTTCATTTCCTTTTGTTTTGCTTTAAGCAGCCGGTGCAGGCAATATAATCAGGTTGGATCTATTTTCAAGTGTATAATATAAATTGCCATTTTCTAATGATCCAGTTTTCCAACTTATTATTGAATGCGCTGCTGGGGAATCTTTAGAAAAGTAACCCATTCTGAATGGGTGTAGAGCGCGTAGTACTTCCAAACCACTTTATTGAAAAGTCAAAACCACTTTAATCAAAAATCAGTGAGTTTAACTACAAAACACTCTATAGAAACTCTAGAAAAAAGTAGGAAATATCGAACCTTTCAGCCTCAGACGAATAAAATCCTTGGAAAAAAAATAACAAAAAGTGATAAAAAATAACACCGACTTGAAATACATATATGTTAGGGCTTGAAAGTATGCAAATAACCCAGCGGTCATTTATACTTAAGCGAATAACGGACGATTCAAGTAGATAAACTTTTTTCATTGGCCTTGTATTGTTTGGCATTCCATCACGGAAAAATGAGAACCATTCCTGGGGTATGTAAATAAGCAAAATTGCTGAATTTGGGACAAAAAGCGACCTGAAGAGATTCAAGAGCTGCCATTTAATCCAGAAAAAATAACGGTTTGGTGTGGTTTGTAGGCTGATGGAATCATCAGTTAATATTTCTTCAAAAATTATGACAGTTAGAACGTAACCGTCAATGGTTATCGCGTCATGATAACATACTATTTGATGGCTGAAATCGTATCTTGTGAACTCAACCACATTTAGTTTCAGCACATCGTATTAGTCAATAGATTTATTCGGTGAACAGATAACATCATATTTTGGGCCGCTTGATTGGCCACCAAATCATCATGATATCACACCGTTTGGGTTCTTCCTGTGGCGTTATGTAAAGTCCAAAGTCTATGCGGACAAACGTGATTCGTCTCGGGCCTTGTAGTAAAACAACACGCGTGTCATTCGCCAGTTCGCCAGTCGAACTATTCGATCGAGTCATTGAAAATTGGACTCAACGTATGGACCATCCGGGACGTAGCCGCGGGCAACATTTGAAAGAGATCAATTTTAAACATTGAAAGTCGAAGATTGTTCTTTCGAATGATAATAAACATTCCCCATTAAATTTGAATTTCATGTGTTGTTTTCTTTAAAAAGTTGGGAGCCTAGTAAATTAAACTACTCTACCAACACTGACCACGCTTTGCAAAGCATGTTTACGTGAAATACCGCATGAAAAAAATAACCCTATATTGGACCTAAAATGGCTTCATCTTGCACAGTATTTTTAAGCGAAAAAAACTAATTTGAAACAAATATCCCTGAAACAAATAATCCTGTGCCGGACCAACATTTTTACAATACTAATATATACATACTTTTACAACATATTTATAAAATAATATATATACAATTATCAGATAGATATTTGAAAAAAATAAATATATATATTAGAAGAGCGTTAAGTTCACTATTAATTTAGGCTTATTGGGTTATGCTGCATTTTCTTATGCTCTTATTTTCCTTGTAATTTGACATTTGAAATTCAGTGAATGTATTAATTTTCAAAGTGCTGCATTGAAGTGGAAAATTCGTCATTGAAATTTGATTTAAATAATTGTTTAAAACACGTAATTTCAATTCATATCAATATTTTGATAAATAAACTGCATGTGAGTGTAAAAATATCGAGATTCGCTGTTTTTCTTGTGTCTAAAAGTCCCAAACAAAATCGTGCAATATGTCCTCAAGGTCAAAATATATGCAATATTTAAATATTTATCTCTACTTAAGAAAAGAGCAACAAATAATAATATTATAACTAAATGATAGTTAATTTTATTGTGCGTCCTATCCTACCTAAATTCATAAAATTAAATGTGTTTTATATAATAAAATGAACGAAAGAAATACAACGTAAATAGCGAAATTGTGAAAATTTGCAATTTTTTGCTATACCATTGTAGAAAGACTATAGCACATAAATAAACAAAAACAAAAGGTGAATAAAAGTTTAACTCATTATCTATCAATACTTTACTAAAGCGGTTTACGCGTTTAGTTATAATAAGTAATGAAAGTGATATAAATTTTATCTAAAGCCAAGGAGTGCTGCTTGCATACCGCCATTACATCCGGTGTTTCATTTCTTTTTCCGGCATTGCCTCGTAGCTGGCAGTGCTGTGAAGGCAAGAAGTGGTGCTGCCGGACGAAGTAAATAAGTAAAATAAATTGTGAGGAAATTCTTTATAATTTTGTATATCTTCGTAATGTTTTGTTAACTTAGCTTTCGAAAGTAAATGTAACATAACAATGTTTTATTTCAGAGTAATAACGACATTTTAAGTGATTTATTGAAGTTACTTAATTAATTAATCAAAAAAAAGTATTATCACCGGTAGTGAGAAGAAAATCTAATAATACATACACACATATAATTGCTGTTTTATAACTTCACTCCTTTCTCATAAACGGACACTGTTTTATGCCAGTCCAAAAAGGCTAAAGCAGATTAACGAGGATAATGCCTCGAACGACTTTAAAAAAGACAATCGGCGTTGATTTCGGTGGCTTGGATTATCAGACACAAAATAATATGATGGATTCTTTTAAAAGATGAATTCAAGAAGAGAAATATTAGATTAATAATAAAATTATTCATTCATTGAAAACCTGAGGAATATATTTTAGAAAATCACCACCAAAAAAAAAATTTTTAAATTCGCTTTCGAACGATTGTAAACAAATTCTTCTAAATCACTGTCTTACTTAACTGAAAAAATATCGTAACTTCTTTTTTTATATTACTCGAGAACTATTTCTAAACGTTTGAGATTTTTGAGTAGTGCCTTTTTTCGATTTAGTAAACGTTACGTACCAACCGAGGATGCAATTTTTTTTCTAAATCTAATTGAGAATTAGATAACGGATTTTGTAAATAACTGATTATATTATTTAATAAGAAGATAACGAAATAAATTTGGTCTTATTTTATATCGGTTTGAATTTTTGATTATTTTAAATGTTAATTAAGTAGTAACAGGTGATTCCTAAAGCACAAGTTTCTAACGCTATTGGATTTGCTGATTTTACCGTTAGATGGGTTTAGATAAATTTTACCGAGAAGAATTGTAAATGAAAATGTGGGAAATATACATATGTAAGTGTGCTTTAAAAATGGGGATCAACTGCTTCTAAAAGCAGTACGTAAGTTTCTTCCATTTTAAAAGATTTACCAATTTCACTCGAACATTTAATTTCGAATATAATATTTTTTTCTATTTATTATATATTTTTTAATATGAAGAATAGTTTTATTTTGCTATTTTTCTTCAAATTATAACAACCATTTTTTTATTTAGTTGTATAATTATTTATTTATTCAACGAACCGGCAGCACTGCCACCAACTTGTTTTCATCGCTATTCCAATAGCAACGAATGCACAGTGGTTTTATTACGAGTTGTTGCTTTCGACAAATCGGATGTTGGTTATTTACGCGACGGTAGAGCAATGTTTGTTTTGAATTTCGATTTACGTAGCATAGCGTTTTTTCAATAGACGTGTTCGTGTTTGAACCTTATAAAAGTTTGTTATTGAATGTGCAACTGTATATTTAAATATTTTGTCTTTACTTTAAAAAAGTAGTGGAGTACACACATACTACTTACATACATATGTACATATATTAAATATACTCGTTGTATTAAAATTTGTGAAATTTGCATATAAGAGTGTGTGAAATAAAGAAAAAGTGTAGTTTAAGTGCGCCAAATAAATTACAATATTCCTTTGAAGTTGTTAATTACCATAAAAAGAAGTTTTCAAAAATTAAAAAAAAAAAAAAAAATAGTACAAAAACAAGCAACGAAAAGTGTAAAGCTGAATTTAAATTCTTAAACGTTAACGCATGCAAATATTAGTTACTTCTTAAAATCAAAATCGTTGGTTATAAAGTAATTGAATTTAAATACCTGAGTGAAGTAAAATCCCTATCCAACTTAATTAGACGAAGTGAATTAATTACTGTCAACCAAAACGCGCCACGACTACGATAACACGTTTATCATAGCGATTTAGCTTACCAGCTACCAGTAAGACACGTTGTTTGTTCGTTTTTGCCAAGGTGTCTTAAGCAAGTGAACTTTTTTTTGTCCAACATTCATCCCAAAGGATAACGACATCAAGGCGTCAGCGTTCATTACTGCATAAAAACAGTAGACGGCGACGGCGACGACGACGACGGCGACCAGCACGACCGACCGGCATTTTAAGTTCTATTGATAAAGGCAACTAACGTGTAAAGTGTGAAAAGTGCAAAAGCAAAAACAAAAACAAATATAAAAGGTGGGTAAATCAAAGGCATGTAGACGTGCTGTGAACGCTCAAACAAAACGTGTCGTATATTCGCTATTCATTTTGTGTTATATCTATATGTATGTACATACATATATACATGTATTTATATAAGTGTAAAGCTTATTATTCGCATCAGCACAGGTTAAAGTGAATGCTTTAAGTTGAAGCTGTGAAGATGGTGGCATGCAAATGCCGCTGGCTGGATACAAGCTTAGCTGAAGTTATGCCAGTGCTTTTGAGTATTGAAAATGCTCAGTGGTGTAAGGTTAAAAGTCTTACTGTTTTATTTTGTAATTTTATTCTAAAGCGTTAAATCATGTCATGTTCGCTGCTGGTTAGTGTCGAAAAATATTTGCCATGAAAAAAGTTAATTCAGTGTGTACGTCCAGTGAAATTGGATGGGTAGGAGTTTGTAAGGGAATGTGATTACAAATTTAGTTTACTAAGGGTTTCAGTTAAAATGATGAATGTTTTCAAAAAACACACAATACCGAACTCGGAAAACATGTCTTTGAATATTCCTCTTTTTGGGCTCGTTTTGGTTTTGAAGTTAGATCGAGTAAATGGGATTTCAGAAAAATGTTTTTTATTTAGTAAAATGTTTTTATTTAATGTGACAATAGAACAAAGTAAATAATTGTGTTAAATGTGATTAGTAAAATTTTAGTTACTACGTAAAAAGGCTATAAATATATTTACAGAATGTTTGACGATTTGAAAAACTAAAAAGTTTATCGAATACTAGTGTAAAGACGAATTCGTGGTGTTTAATATGTTATTAGAATAATTTGTTGCTATTTTTTTTCTACAAATACTATTATATACGATTATTGTAACGCGAGAAAATCAGACCTTAAAGAGCAATTATAAACCAATTTTGGATCCTAAAGGTCCTTTTTAAGACTTCTATCCACTGGTATCGGTTGATTCGTTCACAATGGTATTCTGTGAACAAAAGTTCGGAAAGTTTGTGACTTTCAATTTGTTTTTGTTAAATCTAAAAATACCAAATCCGTTGCAATTACCTTTTTAATTTTACTTTACAATTTTAGAACTATGGGCTAAGATTGGAAGATAGCTGCGGATAGGTTAGGCAAAATTCCACCACCAATCCAAACAGAAATTCGCCATGTGATTATCTTCGGGTGTGGGCGTAATTTACAGCCAATACAAATATTCAGTGAATGCCAAATTGTACATGGAACGATAGTCTTGAAACTATTTTTCTAAGTGGTTCTTAAGTTCCAGGCCGAAAATTTTTCCCTAGAGGGCGAGCCCCGAGAAGTTCGATCAAGATCTTCTACTGATTATGTCACTGTCAGTGTAGCTCTGGTGAATACAAAAATTGACGCAGACTCACGATTGACACGGGAAATGATTGATAATGAATTGAGCTTGAATGCCATTGCTATATTGCAAATAATAAGTAATCGTCTGGGGGTACAAATTGCTCGATGGGTACCACGAATTTTAAATGAGGCCCAAAAAGAGGCTCCAGTGCATTTTGCTTAATTTTTCCGAAACAAATTCGAATATGGTCAGACTAGCAACTTTAGTAAAGTCGTTACTGGTGACGAATCTTGGTGCTCTAAGTATGATTCAGAAACCAAACAGCAGTCTATGGTATGGAGCCCAAGAGCAGCAAACCCGCGCGTAATATTTAGGCAACAAAAATCAGCAGCAAAAGTAATTATGTCAGTTTATTTCACCCGATCTAAAATCTTAGCTGCTATTCCGCAGTAAGAAATAACGACTAATTTTATTGCGATCTCTGTGATCGAAAAAATACGCCCAGCAATATATTCCCCGTCTATAGCGCTACGTGGTTTCTGGTTTATTTCCAAAAATTAAAAACAAAATGGAAAGATCTTTAATATTAACGGGAAGATAATTAATGCAGTTAATGCTGAAGACTGTTTTCCGAAGGGGATCTATAGGCTTAAGAAGATCAAAAAGGACAGAGACTACGAATAAATATAAAAATAATTCATTTTTTGTTTTTTTTTTTTTCTGGCCAACTTAACGAACTTTTGTTAATCCTCCCGTATTTGTATTCTCAAACGACACATAACGCTCTGATAATATTCTGTATTTACCAACTGATCTTTTGGCAAGTATATTCAATAAAAACAGTGTTTAGATACCATTTCGCTTAGCATTGAATATTGAAATAAAGAGTTTTTGAAAAAAATATTTGAATGCAAATTTTTTTAATTTATTCGCTGAGTGTTTATCAGCCAGATGTAGGTATCGTTTGCCATTGTTATAAATAATAATGTAAAAAAATATTTTTTTTTTTTAGAAAAAGTTGAGCGCATCAGCTGCTAACAGATCATCTAAAAACCAAAATAAAAATAAACCGAATCTCGTTGAGAGCTTGGAAATATGCAAAGGCAAAACGAAAATAGAAATAATAAGAAAATAATAAGCATATACGGGAATAAGGAAAACACTTCTGACATTTTTTTTTTAGCCCCAAACAGACAAGTGGACATATGCATGGGCATATAAATATATCCACTCAAAGAAATAGAGGAAAAGCTATGTACATATGTGCATGTTTATTTGTTTTGACTGGTTTGCTATTATTCCTTACTGACTTGGTTTTTCTATCTTCTTCTTCTTTTTTTATTATGTTTTGCGCTTACATATTTTTTGTAATTCCTAAGGATGCTTAGAATGTTTTGGCCACTTGAATATATCGCATTATCTTTTTATGACGCTTTGCTTTCTATTGCCTCGCGCCTAGAAGTTCGTTCACTCAACTTGCCTATGTATTGTACATACCTATGTACATGCTTCCTCTGTTCGCACTCGCCGTCAACATTTCTATGCAATAGTCACTTGCTAGCTGGACTCTCACTTTTGTTGAACTTGATGCTTATGGCAGCGCAAGCAACATGAGTTACCAAAATTGAGTGCGCCACTTAAACGAGCACAATGAGGAAGCAAGAGGCGCTCATGCCACTACAGGATACACTTAGAGATGCTGTGTGTTTAAACATGTATTTTTATATAAATGAAAATAAAAAGAAAAACAAAAAAAAAGAGCAAAAGAACGGTCTTAACTAAGCAGGATACACTCACGCGTACCGGATGTGGCTGGGAAGGAAGCAACCGAATAACAATGAAATAATATCTTTGATATGTGTGGCTGTGAGGGTTTCATTTCATCGCTACTTGTCAGCATGTAGTCTGCTTTTAGGCGCGAATGTCGGCAATAAAGGCAAAAAGAGGACACAAGCATATGCATGGAGGAACTGTTTTAAATAAAATTAATGAAACAAACAATTGGTTTCGCTCTCCAAAAAAATTACAGTTATGCGTGCGAGCAGATAAGCGACAAAATCGTAAAGACAATATAAAAGAAAAAAGAAACATATTTATACTTATCTATGCATCTACATAACTAGAAAAAAGGAAGGAAAATTTAATAAGGGAATTCTTAAGATTCTCATTAGAATTGTATTTGTTGCAATGAAAATTTTAAATTTTCTGCGTGCGACATTCTGTCCACATACTGGCACTTAAACATAATTCAATGAGATCCCTTAAACTGTTGGAGAATTTGTTTTTTTTAGAACTGCTTAAACTGAACTCAGGTCGCGAAATCTTTAGAAACTAAAGATCCTCAATTATTTTGAATAATTAATATCTGATATGTACATCTAATGTTCCCTTCCCTCTACCGAAGTCAAATACCATGGGATAATCCGAGATAGCAAATTTAACTGGAGCCGGAACACCGCAGAAAGGCCGAGAAGGCTATAACTGTGATAGGAAACAGTTGGGACCTAAGACCGAATATTGAGTACTGGACTTATACATCGGTAGTTTGACCAATCCTACTCTACGGCATCACCATATTGTAACTGACACTCGAGAAAATTACTTTCAGGGTTCAACTGTTGGTTGCTATCCTTTCACTGCCATCAACTTCCTTAAAAGCACTGATAACTCTTCTCAACTTCCTTCCACATCAAAAGTAGATCACGTGTAATCAGACAGCGAAAAAAAACTTCTTATCATTAGAGACCTATTCCCCATTAGCATAATGACAGGCTACTGTTAAATGGGGCTTCAAGGGAAAAGAATGGACTAACACTCTAACGATATTTGCCCCAGCTGTAAGGACGAAAAGAAGGAGGAGTTTATCGAGCACCACCTCTATCACTGCCCTGACATCTGCGCGATAAAAAATTCCTAGAAAATTGAAAATCTAGTTACCTTTATAAGGCAAAGGAAATGCTTCAAACATTTGCGATGGTGAAGACAGGATCCTCAAAAGGGAAAGGAATTTTCCCCTAATCGGCAATATAATCAGTTTAATTACTTAATTGTCACACCTCGTAGTGTGTCTGGCAACACTACGGATGGAACCAAAGGGTCAGCCGATACAACCTAACCTAATCTAGAGCATAAAAGAAATAATACTAACTCCCATTTCTTCATCTCCTCTTTAGTTTCATATTTTTTCCCTGGTAAAAATTGAAATTTTTTGAAATGTTTGAAGCGCTCAATGCTCCAGAGGTTCCCTACTTTACATATATCCACTGGAAAAAGTCTAACGCTGTGATATCACACGATCTTGTTGGCCAATCGACCGGCGCAAAACATGATATTTGTGTACCGAAGTATTCTCTCAATAAACCAAATGTCGCCGAGATCACGAGCAATCAAATAGTTGGTTATCATTGCGCGATAGTGGTCGCCATTCACGGTTAACTTCTCACCGGTATCATTCTATTGTAGAAGAAATATGGAATGGAATCATTAGTCGGCCTTCAAACCAAATGAAACTGTTATTTTTCCTGGATGACATGGCAGCACTTGAATTTCTTTTGATTGCTCTTCGTCCTAAATGCGGAAATTTGGCTTGCTTGCATACCCACTGTGCCAGAAATGGACTTCATTTTGGATCTACTTGGAACTTTTCAAGAGCCCATTGTGGTAAGCAATGTCAATTGGGAAGGTCAAGCGGCCTCAGT